TGTTGCTTCACTACTCTTCTAACATCCTTGTTGCTTCACTATTCTAACATCCTTGTTGCTTCACTACTCTTCTAACATCCTTGTTGCTTCATTATTCTAACATCCTTGTTGCTTCATTATTCTAACATCCTTGTTGCTTCACTACTCTTCTAACATCCTTGTTGCTTCACTATTCTAACATCCTTGTTGCTTCACTACTCTAACATCCCTGTTTTTCCACTATCTTAAAATTCTAAGTCACTGTATGACCATTATGGGTTTAGTGCTTCCCAATAATAATAATAATAATAATAATAATAATAATAATAATAATAATAATTAATAATAATAATAATAATAATAATGGTAGTTAATATGGTGATGATGTCCTCTTGAGAAATATCCATTATTTTCCATTATTTCATCTATCCTGGCACATTTTTTTCCAAACTGTTTTGAAAGATGTTAGCAAAGTAAGACATTTAACTGGGACACGCAAAAAGGACCCCAGTGGAAAAAAATAACTGACTTTTTTTTTTTTGGCGGGGGGTTATCCTAGATAATTTGCACACGTGTGTGATAATTGTACTTTTTGTGTATCTGTACCTAAATAAAGTGATGTAATGACTTAACGCGTCAGAGCCAATCAACGGTTAGTATTGACCCTCCTGGCCAAGCACGGTGAGAGTAAACATAGACGAATCTAATGTAAACAGAGGCAGGCAAGGCCCATATCTACCGCTGGCGTAATAAGGTGAAGTTACGTTACGGGTATCGTTTACAAGACACGTAAGCAAGCACTAGACAATACGTCCTAGTGTTGAATCACGTATCTTTATTTTTTTAAATACCAAGGTTTATAAATTAAATTGCTTTAGGTTTCTTACATTTGTAAGTAAGTTTATTCGGGTATACACAAATACAGGTACACAGATTATCTCACAGCAGCATATGTGTAGAGAACCTAAGATAACCCCCCAAAAAAGTCAAAGTAACTTATTTCCATTGGGGTTCTTTTGCACAATGTCCATGGCCATATTGATCTAATAGTTAGTTTAATATGTTTATTATGCACCCCATACCCATCTTGTGGGCGGTAGTCAAAAGATTACAGAGGTACATAATGGGTCCAGGGACTGGGCCTCAAAGTTTTGATAGCTGAGCAAGTTACAGAGGTAATGAATTCTAATAGTAGACATTTTTTCGAATTATTTATATACAGACTCGCATAAGGACCGGATTTCCATAAATGCCCGAGCGAGCAAGCAGGCAAGGCAGCTAGTTACAAAGCAAGCAAGAAAGACAGCTAGCAGCAAAGCAAGCAAGCAAAGAAGCAGTCAAGGAAACTGGCTAGCAGGAAAGCATGCAGGCTAGGAGGTTAGCTAGCAGGAAAGGAAGCTAGTGAGCTAACAAGGAAGCAATCAAAGATGCTAGCTAGCAGGGAAGCAAGCAGTAAAGCGAGCTAACAAGGAAACAAGCAAGAAATCGAGCTAGCAATGAAGCAAGTTAGCTAGCAAACAAGCGGGCTCAACATGAAGCAAGTTAGCAAGGAACAAGAGGGAGCACCGGTCCCCTGATCCCCTCTCACCCGCCTGGCACATATTGGTTGCTAGTAATTCTTTACTCCGTTAAAAACTGATCTACAACACGGGCCATTAATGCCATATTTACCGTGTTCACCACCAGTCAGGAATACCGTAATCCCTAAAATATGAATTACAGTTAACTCTGAGCGTATGTATATAATGACATTGATGTGTGGATGTATATACCATGGCGTCCTGGTAGTGTTCTTGATATAGTACATCCGGTTCCGGAGCCTCACAATGACGCCGCTTACAACCGTCATTCAAATACACTCACCATTAAAATGTTATCCCGTGTATTTTCAAATGTTTCTCTCTCTCTCTCTCTCTCTCTCTCTCTCTCTCTCTCTCTCTCTCTCTCTCTCTCTCTCTCTCTCTGTCTCTCTCTCTGTCTCTCTCTCTTCTCTCTCTCTCTCTCTCTCTCTCTCTCTCTCTTCTCTCTCTTCTCTCTCTCTCTTTCTCTCTCTCTGTCTCTCTCTCTCTTCTCTCTCTCTCTCTCTCTCTCTCTTCTCTTCTCTTTTCTCTTCTATCTCTCTGTCTCTCATTCTCTTTCTTTCTCTCTCTCTCCTCTTTCTTCTCTCTTCTCTCTCTCTCTTTCTCTTTTCTATCTCTCTCTCTCTCTCATTTTCTCTTTTCTCTCTCTCTCTCTTTTCTCACTCTTTTCTCTCTCCTCTTTCTCTCTTCTCTTTCTCTCTCTCTCTTCTCTCTCTCTCTCTCTCTCTCTCTCTCTATCTTCTTTCTCTCTCTCTACTCTTTGATCTTCATCTCTCATCTTGTCTCTCTCTTCTCTCATCTGCTCTCTCTCCTATCTTCTACTTTTCTCCTCTTCTACCTTCCTACATTACTTCTCTCTCTCTCTTCTTCATTATCTAGCGCTCGTATGATACTTAGGAGGGGCTTAGCACTTCCTCACTTTGACTTTTTTGGGATTATACTAGGTAATTTACGCTATGTATGATAATTGTATTTGTGTACCTGTGCCTAAGTAAACTTACTTCTTCATACTTCTGTGCATGTGTTAATTGCCTTGGTTGAAACTGCAATAAAATGCAAATAATCTGTGTTTATATTGCTACTCTATCACTGAGCCTACAATGTACATTAATCTGTAACCTATGGGTAATTTGTACTCACTGTTCATTATCGACAATAGTAAATATTTACATCATATAATACATCGATATTCGATAAAATAATTTGAAGAGAAAGGCCCGGAAACCAATTAGTGTGGCTTATTTCCACTGGTGTCCTCTGATCGTCCCCAGGATGCGATCCTTAATAAGCACTCACTTCTAGGTGAACAGGGGCACCAGGTGTAAGGAATCAAGTTGAACTTAATTCACGCGCCCCGGGATTGAACAAGCAACCACTGAGCCCTGTTGTTATTACTTGTAAAACTAAACTGATAAACCACCTTGAAAGGGTAATATGCATATTTCAACATAGCAGAGCTGCTGCAATGAACCAGCTAGAAGTTGCAATGGTGAATGCTTGAGGAATATTGACTGTGATCTCTAAACCAGTGTGAAGTTCAGGAATACTAAAATCTGTTCTGCTGGATAACCTTTATGGGTTTACCGTTTAGTTATGATGATAATAATAATATATGTTGACTTGTGAAGTTTAGGAATACTGACTAAGGTCTCTGCACCCTGTGAAATTTTCCAGAACGTGACATGGGGGTACCCAAAGTCCCTGATGCTGATGAAGGACTCTTGATTAAAGGAATTAAAATAAACCCTTCCTGTACCCGGATCATACCTGTTTACCTCTCATTCCCCAGGAGCTGTATGATCCCCTATGGATTTAGCACTTGCCCCAGGAAGAAAACAATGGGAACTTACATGGGTATGAAGGAAGCAAGCACGTGAGAGAGTGGTAAATAAACATATTTACCTCACATCACCTTGTAAAGCAGTGTGCTCTACCAGCCATTGTTAATAACAATTAAATAACAACTAAATGTCCTTGGCAGAGTTAATTAACATCCGGGAAGGGATAGAGGAGAATACTGTATTGTTCAAGCCCCCCTCAAGGTGCCTTGATGCTGTTGATGTTCTCCTCATGCAGGGAATTTTGATTTTCCCCCACCTCCCCTTTCACTGGATCAGAATTGATTATGTATCATTCCCTTTGACTCTGTATGACCCCTGCTGGTTGAGCACTTCCCCTTCAAGCAGTGATGGGGGGGGGGAGGTTGGTCCTTGAGGCTGATGAAGAGCTCTTCATCCGAGGAATTGGAGCTGCCTCTTTCTGGGATCAAATGTTATTACTGTACCTTCTAGTCCCTGGGATTTGTATGACCTCTATGGGTTTAGTATTTCTCAGTGAATATAATAATACAGTATATTCAGTAGGAGTTTAGTGCACATGCTATTATCTCTGCACAAAGCCACACTGCCAATATCCTCACTACCCTTTGATGTATTTTTGAGAGGTTTTGAGAACTTGTATACACTTGCAGCCTTGCCCTGGGAATGTTTTTCTTAGATGCTAAAATGTCAGTTGACAGGATGAATTGCTAGAAAATGTTTACCAGGTTAATAAACCATGTTGTAAAACTCTTAGTATTTGGGTGTGTTCAGCAGTGATTTTTAATGCAGTAAGATAAGACTATGTCAAAGATGCTGGTGGTTTCAAACACCAGCTTCTTACTAATTCATCAAGCAGACTATGGTGTACCTTGGGCTTTGTAAAGGGTTTCTTTCAAATCAAGGAAGTTTAAGTACTGTGCCTTGTTATTCTCAAGAAAGGTTGTGATGCAAAATTCAGTGCTCTTTATCTTTCATTAAACATTGGAGGAAGTAGTCTAATTTATATTCTGTGTTATGTAATAGCTTTTGTATCACTGGCTGTCTCCCACCAAGGTTGGATGACCCAAAAAAGTAGTATTCACATCATTTATTCAATAGATGTTTGCCAGAAGTACACAGATATCAAAATTCAAATAAATTCACTTTACAACATCCCCACCCGTCCTTCAGAATATTGGCAGTGCACTTCCCACATCCAGGACTCAAGTCTGGCTAACTGGTTGCCAGACTCTTTCCATAACCTGTCATTAATATTCTCAACCATTTTTACATAAACATGATGCAAGTGATATGGAAAAAACATAGTCTCATTATGATTAATGCAGCAAGCTGTTTATTAATGACCTCATTTTAATGGACTTCGGGAATAAGGAATAAAACCCACTGGGTCAGTTGACTCAAACAGTGGACAAAGTCTCTTGGTTACAGAATTCTCTCTTATTGTTATGAATATGGCAAGACAATCTCATATCTATCCACAATCGCCATTACTAGCCACCTGTTCCCCTCCCGAATAGTACATTAAATTGAGGGTTTAGTAAAAATAGGAATATTTATGTTTATATGCTTAGACTCTTTCCTTGTTTATGTATTTATTTCTTCACCTTTTTGTCTCTTGCAGAGTGTAATATTTGATGAAATCCACCTGACAGATCTGAGCGTAGCAGAGTGTAGTACCAAGAACGTCAACCACAGCTTCCAGGTAAGTGTGGTGGTGATGGTAGTGGGCATGAAGTGGTAGTGAGAAAGGGGTGGATAGTGGGGGTTGCAGTGATGGTAGTGGGCATGAAGTAGTAGTGAGAAAGGGGTGGATAGTGGGGGTAGCGGTGATGGTAGTTTACCTGGAGTTTACCTGGAGAGAGTTCCGGGGATCAACGCCCCCGCGGCCCGGTCTGTGACCAGGCCTCCTGGTGGATCAGAGCCTGATCAACCAGGCTGTTACTGCTGGCTGCACGCAAACCAACATACGAGCCACAGCCTGGCTGGTCAGGAACCGACTTTAGGTGCTTGTCCAGTGGGCACGAAATACATAGTAGTGAGAAAGGGGTGGATAGTGAGGATTGTAGTGATGGTAGTGGGCAAGAAGTGGTATTGAGAATGGGTGGATAGTGGGGGGTTGTGGTGGTGATGATGGTAATGGTCATGAAATAGTAGTGAGAAAGGGAGAATAGTGGGGGTTGTGGTGATGGTGGTGGGCATGAAGTGGTAGTGAGAAAGGGAGAATAGTTGGGGTTGTGGCGATGGTAGTTGGCATGAAGTGGTAGTGAGAAAGGGAGAATAGTGGGGGTTGTGGTGATGGTAGTGGACATGAAGTGTACTGATACTTCATAAAGTGATGATTTTTACTCATTCTGTCTTTCATGATAAGCTTCGCTCCATATATTGCCACATACGTATGTACAATGTACATATATAGTTTAGTGTGTCTCCATGAATATACTAATACAGTCATAATAATATACAGTACCATACTATATTTCTGCATCTGGCATACATGCAGTAGTTGTGTCCAGCTAATTTAGAATTTTAATAAAACAAATTTGATAGTATTGATCCAGTGTTTTCACTGCAGTGCATAACACCTTTCCGAAGTTTGGTGCTGGCTGCTGAAACTCGTCGAGAGATGGAGGAATGGATTGCTGCCCTCAAGTCTGCAAACACCACTACCCACTATTATGAGGTACATTTGATGTTGACCGTAATGTAAACCAGTGCTTCTTAAACATTATGTTGCAACCCCCTAAATATGCTTTTAAAAGTTTGTAGGCATTGTTGTAGCAGAGCGACATAAGTATAAAAAAAAATTTGATTTTTTTTTTTATTGACACATCGGCCGTTTCCCACCGAGGCAGGGTGTCCCGAAAAAGAAAAACTCTCTTCATTATTTACTCCATCACTGTCTTGCCAGAGGCATGCTGACACTACAGTTATAAAACTGCAACATTAACACCCTGCTTCAGAGTACCGGCACTGTACTTCCCATCTTCATCTTCAGGAATCAAGTCTGGCCTGCCAGTTTCCTTGAATCCCTTCATAAATGTTACCTTGCTTACACTCCAACAGCACGTCAAGTCCTAAAAACCATTTGTCTCCATTTGCTCCTATCTAACACGCTCACACACGCTTGCTGTAAGTCCAAGTCCCTTGCACACAGAGCCTCCTTTACCCCCTCCAACCTCTCCTAGGCCGACCCCTACCCTGCCTTCCCTCCACTACAGATTTATACACTCTTGTCATTCTATTTTGTTCCATCCTTTCTACATGTCCGAACCATCTCAGTAACCCCTCCTCAGTCCTCTGGATAATAGTTTTGGTAATCCCGCACCTCCTCCTAATCTCCAAACTACAGATTCTCTGCATTATATTCACACCACACATTGCCCTCAGACATGACATCTCCACTACCTCCAGCCTTCTCCTTGTTGCAACATTCACCACCCATCCCTCACACCCATACAAGAGCATTGGTATAACTATGCTCTCAAATTGAAATATGTAGCAAGTATTATTTTTTGTTTTCTATTAACACATTGGCCATTTCCCACCGGGGCAGGGTGACCTGAAAAAGAAGAAACTTTCATTTGTTACTCATTCCGTCTGTGTCTTGCCAGAAGTGTGCCTACACTGCAGTTCAAAATAGCAAGTAATGGGAACAAATAAAGCATGACATGTTTGAACTGTATTATCCAAAGTACATGTTATTTTTTATTTTATTATTTTATTATCACACTGGCCGATTCCCACCAAGGCAGGGTGGCCCGAAAAAGAAAAACTTTCACCATCATTCACTCCATCACTGTCTTGCCAGAAGGGTGCTTTACACTACAGTTTTTAAACTGCAACATTAACACCCCTCCTACAGAGTGCAGACACTGTACTTCCCATCTCCAGGACTCAAGCCCGGCCTGCCAGTTTCCCTGAATCCCTTCATAAATGTTACTTTGCTCACACTCCAACAGCACGTCAAGTATTAAAAACCATTTGTCTCCATTCACTCCTATCAAACACGCTCACGCATGCCTGCTGGAAGTCCAAGCCCCTCGCACACAAAACCTCCTTTACCCCCTCCCTCCAACCTTTTCTAGGCCGACCCCTACCCCGCCTTCCTTCCACTACAGACTGATACACTCTTGAAGTCACTCTGTTTCGCTCCATTCTCTCTACATGTCCGAACCACCTCAACAACCCTTCCTCAGCCCTCTGGACAACAGTTTTGGTAATCCCACACCTCCTCCTAACTTCCAAACTACGAATTCTCTGCATTATATTCACACCACACATTGCCCTCAGACATGACATCTCCACTGCCTCCAGCCTTCTCCTCGCTGCAACATTCATCACCCATGCTTCACACCCATATAAGAGCGTTGGTAATACTATACTCTCATACATTCCCCTCTTTGCCTCCAGGGACAAAGTTCTTTGTCTCCACAGACTCCTAAGTGCACCACTATACTATATATATTTTTAATGAGATTCATATACTTACACAGTACGTGTTTTGGTACAAGAGCTCAGTGTCAGGCATAATACAGCATCAGAAATGTCATTTTGAAGATTTTCATTGTATAACCCTCTATGGGTTTACTGCTCTCCATATATGATAATAATTATTTTGAAGTATTTTCGTAAAGCCTTTTTTTTTTTTTGGAAATGCAGTTGACATAAAAGACATAAGGATGTCCACTGTAGATTTTAGAATTACAAATTAATTTTGAACCTAGTAACTGAAATTTTATACTTCATCTTGAATCCTAAAATTATTGTAGTTTCAAAAATATTTTCATAAAGTATATGATTTTGAGTGAATTTGGTGATAATATATTGTAAAGTTACCTTTATTTCCATTCAAGGAAATTACTCCACGAGATGTGAAGATTCTTAATGATTTGATGAACTTTGAATTAGCTCAAATTCCTGGGGTATACCTGGAGGAGGTTATGGGGGTCATGCCTCCATGACTCAGCAGTATACAGATACATAATTTAGTTTACATGTGATAAAATATTGTTAGGCACAAAAAGAAGTCACTAGGATGCAGTGCATATTGGGAGTTACTTAAAGCTACAGTAGCAAGTTCCCAAGACAAACATTCTTAATAAGAATAGTGTAACTTATGAGCATTTTTAAGACACAAGTTCCCAAGACAAACATTCTTAATAAGAATAGTGTTACTTATGAGCATTTTTAAGACACAAGTTCCCAAGACAAACATTCTTAATAAGAATAGTGTTACTTATGAGCATTTTTAAGAAACAAGTTCCCAAGACAAACATTCTTAATAAGATTAGTGTTACTTATGAGCATTTTTAAGACAGAGCTATATCATGAAGATGAATGTATAATGCCAGCAAAGAAAATGATTATCACAAGAGGATTACATGTAATCATGATCAACGGAAAAAGGTAATGGGAGGGTCAAGAAAGGGAGAAGGGATTATTTATTACACTGATCATCCCAGTGTGGTTAAACCAGGTGTAACTAGTTTCCCATGAGTTTGAACCCCTTGATGGTGAGTTAAGAAACCATGTCTAGTTTAAATTTATTATCTGAGTTGTGTTTACCCTACTTAAGTGTTTTGATTGTTTTTTTTTTTTAACACCAAGTGTCTCCCACTGAGGCAGGGTGACCCGAAAAAGAAGTAATTAAAGCTTTTTTTCTTTTTACATTTAATAATTTATATAGGAGAATGGGTTACTAGCCCCTTGCTCTTGGCATTTTAGTTACCTCTTACTAAACATGTGGCTTAGGGAGGAAGGATCTTTCTTTGCTTCCCCATGGAAATTATTTTTATTTACATTTAGTAATTGCTGGTGTTTTTCTTCTTACAGGGAGCAGACCAGGTTCACTCTCTACTCTCAGGCCAACATAACTGGTATGCTACATCACATGCTCGGCCCACATATTGCAATGTGTGCCGGGAGGCCCTCTCAGGTAATCATGTTTGTAATTATTTTTTGTATTTTGAGGACCAGAGCTATTCTTGTAATGTCCTGTCTTCAGTATTTAGTCTGTGAGATAATTTTTGTAAATGTTTAGTGGCTTGGTCAAGGCCTGGGCTGCGGAGGAATTGACCCCCGGAACACCCTCCAGGTAGACTACCTCATCTTGTGACCCAATCATTGTTCTACCACTTCATGTTTCGAGCTGTGTCTTGTATCACCTCCAGTCTGCTAAAGGTTAAAATATGAGATATCTCTTAGTGAAGTATATTAAATACATTACTGTATGTTTATTGGAAAATAAAAGCTCAGAATAAAATATGGCGGGAAGAAGAATTAGAGGTTCTCTAATAATCTTTGTACAGTACTATGTATGTATATAGAAAGATACAATGTAAGGAGTGTGACCTCACGTTAGGTACGCTCGTTTAAGACAAATTTCCCAAACTACTCATGCCTCTTTGTGTTAATGGACACTGACAGCAGTAGCAGTGATACTATTGTACATTTTTAACTACATATGGCTAAGGGTTGAAACTGAGTTGTGGAGAGGAATAATGTTTGTACTGCAGCTGTAATTAAGTACTGTTAGTTTACATTAAGAAGGAATGTATGATAAGATGTAAGGTGAAGCTGCTGCTTTTTAAAACAAATGGAAAAGATTGTAGAGTTTTCAGTGTAAGATTATGAAGTGCTCTAGCATTATAGAAACATCTGTTTGTTTCTTCCTTATTACAGTAAGTTTAATGAGGGACATTGTTGCACTTTGTCCAGTGATTTCACAGATTATAAATAAGATTAACTCTTAAATTGTCCAAACGTAGATCTATATTTGCACGAGTAGTGCTCCGAACGCAGATCTACATTTTTTTACATTGTTTCTTATGGAGAAAATTAAGGTTGGAGCACTATGCGCACAAATATAGATCTACGTTTGGACAGTTTAAGCATTAATAGAGTATAGTTACTACAAAAAAAAGTAATATGGTTGCTGTAAATATTAAGACACTCTCTTTATGTTTCTTTTGCTTGTAACAGGAGTAACATCACATGGCCTAAGTTGTGAGGTGTGTAAGTTAAAGGCACATAAGCGTTGTGCAGCCAAAGCGCTCAACAATTGCAAGTGGACTACCCTGGCCTCTGTAGGAAAGGATATTATTGAGGATGAAGAAGGGGTGAGTATTATATGGTAGACTTAAGCATGATTATATCCTAATGCAGGTAGAACCCATTTTACTACAGGGTTAGGTTCCAACAAAACAAGGTCGTAAAATGAAGTCGTAAAACAAGATCACTTTATAATGTAATTATATCAATGTTTGTGATGGCTTTCTGAATGTTATACAACTTCCAGTAGTCCCCCACAGTTATATCAGACTGCACAACCTCAGCAGCCCCTTTGAAAGTCATACACAAATAATTTTTTCAATTACAGTGGACCCCCCGGTTTACGATCAGCTCCCAGTGCGACCAATTATGTAAGTGTATTTATGTAAGTGCATTTGTATGTGTATGTGTATGTGTAAATTCAAGAATTATGTGGATTAAAGTAAAGGTTGGATGCGAAAAGTGGGTCATAATAAGCGTGTATGCGCCTGGAGAAGAAAGGAATGTAGAGGAGAGAGAGAGACTTTGGGAGATGTTAAGTGAATGTATAGGAGCCTTTGAACCAAGTGAGAGAGTAATTGTGGTGGGGGACCTGAATGCTAAAGTAGGAGAAACTTTTAGAGAGGGTGTGGTAGGTAAGTTTGGGGTGCCAGGTGTAAATGATAATGGGAGCCCTTTGATTGAACTTTGTATAGAAAGGGTTTTAGTTATAGGTAATACATATTTTAAGAAAAAGAGGATAAATAAGAAATACAAGATATGATGTAGGGCGAAATGACAGTAGTTTGTTGGATTATGTTTTGGTAGATAAAAGACTGTTGAGTAGGCTTCAGGATGTACATGTTTATAGAGGGGCCACAGATATATCAGATCACTTTCTAGTTGTAGCTACACTGAGAGTAAAAGGTAGATGGGATACAAGGAAAATAGAAGCATCAGGGAAGAGAGAGGTGAAGGTTTATAAACTAAAAGAGGAGGCAGTTAGGGTAAGATATAAACAGCTATTGGAGGATAGATGGGCTAATGAGAGCATAGGCAATGGGGTCGAAGAGGTATGGGGTAGGTTTAAAAATGTAGTGTTAGAGTGTTCAGCAGAAGTTTGTGGTTACAGGAAAGTGGGTGCGGGAGGGAAGAGGAGCGATGGATGGAATGATGATGTAAAGAGAGTATAAGGGAAGAAAAAGTTAGCATATGAGAAGTTTTTACAAAGTAGAAGTGATGCAAGGAGGGAAGAGTATATGGAGAAAAAGAGAGAGGTTAAGAGAGTGGTGAAGCAATGTAAAAAGAGAGCAAATGAGAGAGTGGGTGAGATGTCATCAACAAATTTTGTTGAAAATAAGAAAAAGTTTTGGAGTGAGATTAACAAGTTAAGGAAGCCTAGAGAACAAATGGATTTATCAGTTAAAAATAGGAGAGGAGAGTTATTAAATGGAGAGTTAGAGGTATTGGGAAGATGGAAGGAATATTTTGAGGAATTGTTAAATGTTGATGAAGATAGGAAGCTGTGATTTCGTGTATAAAGGGGAAGGAGGAATAACATCTTGTAGGAGTGAGGAAGAGCCAGTTGTGAGTGTGGGGGAAGTTCGTGAGGCAGTAGGTAATATGAAAGGGGGTAAGGCAGCCGGGATTGATGGGATAAAGATAGAAATGTTAAAAGCAGGTGGGATATAGTTTTGGAGTGGGTTTGGGGCAATTATTTAATAAATGTATGGAAGAGGGTAAGATACCTAGGGATTGGCATAGAGCATGCATAGTTCCTTTGTATAAAGGCAAAGGGTACAAAAAGAGAGTGCAAAAATTATAGGGGGATAAGTCTGTTGAGTTTACCTGGTAAAGTGTATGGTAGAGTTATTATTGAAGAATTAAGAGTAAGACGGAGAATAGGATAGCAGATGAACAAGGAGGCTTTAGGAAAGGTAGGGGGTGTGTGGACCAGGTGTTTACAGTGAAACATATAAGTGAACAGTATTTAGATAAGGCTAAAGAGGTCTTTGTGGCATTTATGGATTTGGAAAAGGCGTATGACAGGGTGGATAGGGGGGCAGTGTGGCAGATGTTGCAGGGGGGTGGTGTAGGAGGTAGGTTACTGAAAGCAGTGAAGAGTTTTTACGAGGATAGTGAAGCTCAAGTTAGAGTATGTAGGAAAGAGGGAAATTATTTCCCAGTAAAAGTAGGCCTTAGACAAGGATGTGTGATGTCACCGTGGTTATTTAATATATTTATAGATGGAGTTGTAAGAGAAGTAAATGCGAGGGTCTTGGCAAGAGGCGTGGAGTTAAAAGATAAAGAATCACACATAAAGTGGGAGTTGTCACAGTTGCTCTTTGCTGATGACACTGTGCTCTTGAGAGATTCTGAAGAGAAGTTGCAGAGATTGGTGGATGAATTTGGTAGGGTGTGCAAAAGAAGAAAATTAAAAGTGAATACAGGAAAGAGTAAGTTATGAGGATAACAAAAGATTGGGTGATGAAAGATTGGATATCAGATTGGAGGGAGGGAGTATGGAGGAGGTGAATATATTCAGATATTTGGGAGTGGACGTGTCAGCGGATGGGTCTATGAAAGATGAGGTGAATCATAGAATTGATGAGGGGAAAAGGGTGAGTGGTGCACTTAGGAGTCTGTGGAGACAAAGAACTTTGTCCTTGGAGGCAAAGAGGGGAATGTATGAGAGTATAGTTTTACCAACGCTCTTATATGGGTGTGAAGCATGGGTGATGAATGTTGCAGCGAGGAGAAGGCTGGAGGCAGTGGAGATGTCGTGTCTGAGGGCAGTGTGTGGTGTGAATATAATGCAGAGAATTCGTAGTTTGGAAGCTAGGAGGAGGTGCGGGATTACCAAAACTGTTGTCCAGAGGGCTGAGGAAGGGTTGTTGAGGTGGTTCGGACATGTAGAGAGAATGGAGCGAAACAGAGTGACTTCAAGAGTGTATCAGTCTGTAGTGGAAGGAAGGCAGGGTAGGGGTCGGCCTAGGAAAGGTTGGAGGAAGGGGGTAAAGGAGGTTTTGTGTGCGAGGGGCTTGGACTTCCAGCAGGCATGCATGAGCGTGTTTGATAGGAGTGAATGGAGACAAATGGTTTTTAATACTTGACGTGCTGTTGGAGTGTGAGCAAAGTAACATTTATGAAGGGGTTCAGGGAAACCGGCAGGCCGGACTTGAGTCCTGGAGATGGGAAGTACAGTGCCTGCACTCCGAAGGAGGGGTGTTAATGTTGCAGTTTAAAAACTGTAGTGTAAAGTACCCTTCTGGCAAGACAGTGATGGAGTGAATGATGGTGAAAATTTTTCTTTTTCAGGCCACCCTGCCTTGGTGGGAATTGGCCAGTGTGATAATAAAAAAAAAATTTGTATGTGTATGTTTGGGGGTCTGAAATGGACTAATCTAATTCACAATATTCCTTATGGGAACAAATTCGGTCAGTACTGGCACCTTAACATACTTCTGGAATGAAATAATATCGTAAACCGGGGGTCCACTGTATTTAGGTAATTTTGAAAAGGTCGTTAATGTGAAAAGTCGTAAAATAAACCATCGTAAGATAGGACCTACCTGTATTATGAAATACTAAAACATTATGGAAAAATCTATTTATTTCTGCTGTTAAAAGAACATAAAAAAATGTGAAGCATTGTTTTATTCAGGAAAACATAATTTTTCTAAGGTTTCAGTCCATAATTGCGCCTCATGAGATGGTTATGACAGTAAGAGTTCCATGAGCACTGGCAGGGGATTTTCCAAGATGTATTATATATGCTTCATTACTGCAGTAGAACCTCGGTGCCCGAACAGCTCCCTACTTGAACAATTCAGTATTTGAATACTTTGTTCGGTAAAAAAATTGCTCGGTAGTCAACCGTTTGCTCAGCACTTGACCAAACACACACGACCTGCCGGAACTTCACTGTAAACTATTTGGGAGTTTCTTCGCATTCTTTAGTGTTTTTTATATTATTTGTATAAGTGAGTCACCATGGGGCCTACGAAGATTAGTGATAACATCCAACCAAAAAGAAAATTGGCTGCGAAAAATTCATTCAGTACTTGAACAGATCGACACTTGAACAGCCTTCTGGAATGAATTAAGTTCGAGTACCGAGGTTCCACTGTATAGTTTTACTGCAGATGTTATACCAGAACTCCATATAGACCAATGATCTTATTTAAGGACTTTAGGAAATACTGTATAAATAAGCCTAGAGAGCCATCAAAAATTTATAATTTCAACAATCTTACTATCCTATAACAGTCTTTTTGACTTCATATGCTGTTATTTCTTGTGCAGTGCCTACCACCATCTTGAACAAAATTGCATCATACCTATAATCAGTTTTGAGAGTTGTTCTACTCTGGAAGGCCGGCATGAGGCCAGACTTCAACCATAATTAATACAAGAACTAAAAGATCATATTTTGTACTTTCACAGAACCTTGCAATGCCCCATCAGTGGCTGGAAGGAAACTTACCTGTATCTGCCAAGTGTGCTGTTTGTGAAAAGACCTGTGGCTCTGTTCTCAGGTAAGTGAGGTAACTAATGGTGATAGCCTGTTTGTAGTTACTGGAGCACAATTAAGGTTGTGATATCCCACCCTCAGTATTTAGTCTGCCATAAAAAAAAAAAATTAAAGTTTCCGGTGGCTGTGGCACTCACTGTGGTATCTCCTCAGTTAGTCAAGTTCATTCATCTTCCTCTCTCTTCACAAAAAAAACTTTATAGAGTCTTCTCAGTTACTCTTATTTCTTAGTTTGTAATTATATCCTATTGTTATGCCTGTTGGAAGTACAGTATTGCCTTTTTTATCTGATTTATTATTTTTAATTAGATAGGTAAAATTGTCTTGTAGTTGTTTTGCTGTTGCCAAGTAACAGTGTGAATGAGGCTTTTGGTATATTCTAAGGTAGGCAAGAAAATCTACAGTTCTCTATATATGCCTCTCACACTATCTGATTGAATAGGAATACCTATAACAGTAAAAGAGAGAGAGGAAGAGTGAGAGATGGAGTGGGAGTAAGAGAACATGTGAAAGAGTGAGTGTTAGTGATGGAGGTCTTTATTTACCTTACTTTGTTTGCAAGATTCAGACTCCAGCTACTAGGCTCCATCTCAACCTGTTCCATAGGTTTTGATGTTCAATATTTACATTTGAATTGATGTATAGATTTCACCACTACCTGAAACCCTAGTGCAAACTCCTTTTTTACTACCCTTTCACTAAAAAAAATTCTCATTTCTCCCATATTTTCCCATTAAGATAGGGTAACCCAAAGACGGAAACTCATTCACCATCACCTGTTCAGTAACTGTTTTGTCAGAGATGTACGGACATTACAGTTCAAGTGACCCTCCAAATTGCACATTTCCACTTAACCTTCAGAGTACAGGCACTCTTTTTTCAGACTTTGCCAATTCTTTCATTGTTTCTTGTATATTGCTTCTGTCACTGACTTTCCTCTTATGCTGCTATTTGGATTGTTTGTTAAATACATACTATATGGTTCACTTTTTCAGCATTTCTTGCAAGTGTCTTATCTTCTTTATTCTCTTTTTTTCTTTGGCTCTATCCATCCTGCTTTGGCACACTCATCTCTGCTTTATTTTCTCGATCATAAGTCTTCTGACCTTTTCTCCCTAATTTTATCCTAGATTCTTTACCTTGAATTAAATTATATATTTTCCTAGAATTAATGTAAATGTTCATAATACTTTTGAATCCTATGTTTGAGAGATGACACAGGAAAGGAGTGGTGAGAAAGAAAAAAAAAACAGATGTGATGGTTTGTTGTGATAATAAAGAAGTTCAGGAGGGCCCCTCTTTATGGCAGTAGCTTGGAACCTAACCCGCTGTATAAGTGGGGCCCCTACTGTACTGTGCTTTAAACAAATATACTATGTGATAATAAGCAGCATGGAATACCTATCCACAGATTACAAGACTGGAGATGTCTGTGGTGCCGAGCGATGGTGCACACTGCATGTCGTCCACTTCACCCCACCCGCTGTCCATTAGGTCCTTGCCGTGTCTCCATTGTCCCCCCAACTGCACTCACCACAATAGGTACGGTGCATCACTCACACCTACCAGTATGACTCGTGTCACACTCAACACTGTACAGGCACTTCTCGACGTGTGATGGGGGGTTACATTCTGAGGAACTCATCATGAGTTGAAAATATCTTAGTTGTTTATTACAATATACAGCACACTACTGTATAAACATTTAAAAATATACTAAAAATGTTATAAATGGTGCAAAGGTGACATTTAAAAAACTCTGAACATGGCTGACACTAACCCACTACCAGTGAGGTATGCTCCTCGCTTAACGACCAATTCATTTACTGACTTACTCATAGGACTGGAGCTCGGTTATTGAGTGAGGAGAGGCTGTATTGGGAGGCCTGGTCAAGGACTGGGCCACGGGGGTGTTGACCTTCAGAACGACCTCCAGATAAACTCCAGGCAGTTATTTGCAGAAATTTACCCCGAATGCTTGAGACGCTTACCCCAAGATGAGTGTGTAGTTGTAATGAACTGTTAGTGCTTGTGTGTGTTTTTTCTTTTTAACACATTGGCTGTTTCCCACCGAGGCAGTGGTTTTATGTTGTCCCAAAAATTTGGGCACATTAACATCTCCGTTCAAAGCAGGTGAAATTGCAGATCTAGAGAGTGTACAGAGAACCTTTACTGCACATATAGGTTCCATCAAACACCTCAACTAATGGGAATGCTTGGAAGCACTTGACTTGTACTCGCTGGAACGGAATGCAAGCGAGAGAGATAGTACATATGTATATGTATATCATAATCTAGACTTCAAAAATCCTAGAAGGAATGGTCCTGAATCTGCACACAGAAATCACTCCCTACGAAAGTAAAAGACTGGGGAGGCGGTGCAAAATACCCCCAATGAAAAGTAGGGGTGCCATTGGTACACTAAGAGAAAGCACCACGAGTGTCTGGGGCCCAAGACCTTTCAACAGCCTCCCACCATACATAAGGGGAATTACCAATAGGCCCCTGGCTGCCTGCAAAAGGGAGCTGGACAGATACTTAGTCAGTGCTGAATCAGCCTGGCTGTGGTTCGTACATTGGACTATGTGCAGCCAGCAGTAACAGCCTGGTTAATCAGGCCCTGATCCACCAGGAGGCCTGGTCGTGGACTGGGTCGTAGGGGGCGTTGATCTCTGGAATACCCTCCAGTTAGACAACCACTGAATTAAAATGTTAAATTAATTTGTTTGAAATGTTATAAATGTTTAATATAATGTTCATTAACCTTTTATGTAAAATTAGGGAACTGTAGTGAGTACCATAACAATTTTGTACCTACAGGAACAGAACTATGTTTGTTGTGTTTTCTCTGCAGTGTTTAGTCTGTCATAAAGTTTTCCTGGGGTTTTCAGTGGTTGTAGCATTTAATAATACTTCATGTAAACCATTGCATTAGTTTGTCACTCTGTGAAGAAAAACTCTGGTATATTTTTGGTGACTCCTCTTGCTTAGTCTGTGAATTTACCTATCTCTGGGAAAAAGAGAGAGGATAGGAGGAGAGAAGAAACTGATGATATATGAGGAGAAGAGTGAAGATTGGTGAAATGGAGGAATTAAAGAAGGAACTGGTGAGGATGAGGCAAGAGAGAAGGAACTGGTGAGAAGGAAAAAAAATAAGAACTGTTGGGAAGAAAGTTACAACCTGGGAACTAAAGAGAAAAATAAAAAAAAATTGTGGGGTGAAAGAAAATAAAAGCTAGAGCCAAGAAAGGCAGAGTTAATTATCTTGGCAGCTGGATGTTTCTTAAAGGGAAGAATCTTTACTTTCCACATTTCTCATTGTATCTTTCCTGGCACATTTCTGCATTGGTCATTATCTCTTTGATATTCTTATTGTTTAATTGTCTGTTTTCAGTCTTAATAAATCCTAAATAAGGTTCTTCAACATTTTTTATTGTATTCATCTCCCACTGAGGCAGGGTGACCTGAAAAAGAAACACTTTCACCACCATTCACACTATCACTGTCTTGCCAGAGGCACGTAGCTACAGTGTTTCATATGTCCTTGTAAACAGCAAATATCCCAAACCCCTCAGCCACACAGATCCTATTGCAACATAGCATTTTTTCATAAAATTTTGCATGTCTCTGTTTAGTAGTAATTATATGAAGAAATTTTTAGTGCTAACAGAAATGTACATAAAGTTTAAATGGTATTGACTGTAAAATTATTGGTAAAATAATGAAGCAGTCATCCAAAATTACAAACTCTGATAACTACCTCCTTCCATTTTAATATCATGAGAAAACTTTCTTTCCGTTATTAATCGAGGAATTTTGTGACAGGGACGGACGAGTCATGGGAAGCGACCAGACCTCAGGGCTGCTCACCACTCCTAGTGTTTGTTAACAGCAAGAGTGGCGACAATCAAGGTGTGAGGTTTCTGCGGCGTTTCAAGCAACTCCTCAATCCGGCGCAAGTGTTTGATTTGATGAATGGTGGACCATTATTAGGGTAAGAAATAAATGATTTTAATTTATTTACTACTCATTTTTGTGCGTGTAATACAGTCCAGGCTCACTAAACTATACAGTAAGTCCTCGACTTAGACACGTTGGGGACCTCCTGAATTGTGTATAATACTATAATATGCACAGTACAGAAGATTCTCATTGTGCTTGTAAGTCGAGGACTTGCTGTACATGGCGGAACTAAGCGTTTTGTGAACATTCAGATTTTCAGTATTTAAACGTAAAAATGTCTTCAGTGTACAAAGACCCTCAACACTGTTTCTGTTAGTTGTTCTCATCTGAACATGTGCATACATAAAGTATAGCCGGACTTGAGGCTGAGGTGGGAAGTACAGTGCCTGCACTCTGAAGTAGGGGTGGGGATATTTGCATTTTTGAACTACAGTGGAACCTCTACTTGCAAGTTTAATCCATTCCACGACCTTGCTCACAACTGGATTTGCTCGTTTGCAGAGTCAGTTTTCCTCATTTAAATTAATTGAAATGGAATTAATTCGTTACAGTGGAATTCCAGGCACGAGAAAATACTTCAATAATTTCCCTAATATCAACTCTACAGCTTATTTATCTATCACAATTCATGTAATATGACATAATAAACAATATTAATAACATAGAAACATGATATATGCACTAGAATGAATAAAATACATGTCATTAGGTATGTGGCTAGTGGTGGTGACAGCAGCCATTGTTGTTGGAGTTTTTAGGGCCACCACAGCAGCCATTCCTGCTCCTGACTACATGTGTAGAGAACCTAAGATAACCCAAAAAAGTCAGACAGAGTGACTTATAAGTGCTACACTCTTAATGGTTCACTTAATTGCTACACTCTTAATGCTACACATTGCCACTGCTGCTTCATGTTGCCTGCCACTGCTGCTTCATGTTGCCTGCCACTGCTACTTCATGATATCTGCCACTGTTGCTTCATGTTGTCTGCCACTGCTGCTTCATGTTGCCTGCCACTGCTGCTTCATGTTGCCTGCCACTGCTACTTCATGATATCTGCCACTGTTGCTTCATGTTGTTTGCCACTGCTGCTTCATGTTATCTGCCACTGCTACCTCATGATGTCTACCACTGATGTCGCCAAAGAATCGAACATTTCTGCTATTTTGAGCTCAGTTTCAAGGCACTTTTCATTGTGAAACCAATTAAAATCACATTTATTTTTGTAGTATATCTTCCATTCTATCACACGAGACCAAATAAAATGAGAATACAACCATAAAAACCATACGAAAATATACTGCTGTGGGGACGCTAATGGCTGAGAAGTGAACTCCGTTATTTATTGTCCGATTTCTTTCATTTTTGGTGTATGTTAAGAAGCATCTTTTCATCATATATTGCCCAAGTTTCAATTAGATAGTCAAAAAAACAACTGAGATCCAATTCCCTAGATCAAGGGCAAGAGCCCCCCTCACCAGTGTCAATTAACCTCCCTTGAGGCCTGCACACATCTGGAAATTTTGCTCGCGCCTGGAAGCAGAAAATCAATCGAGCAGCTGCTCGTATCTGGAAAAACTCGCACGTGGATGCGCTCGTAAGTAGAGGTTCCACTGTATAGTATCGGCACCCTTCTGGCAAGACAGTGATGGAGTGAATGAATCGTGAAAGTGTTTCTTTTTTTTTGGATCACCCTGCCTCAATGGGAGACAGCCAGTTTGTTGAAAAAAAAAAATACAGTACATACATATATACAGTACATCATTTAGTACAGAAGAAGGAATGAGAATTGGATAAGATAAGATAAGATTTCATTCGGATTTTTAACCACGGAGGGTTAGCCACCCAGGATAACCCAAGAAAGTCAGTGCATCATCGAGGACTGTCTAACTTATTTCCATTGGGGTCCTCAATCTTGTCCCCCAGGATGCGACCCACACCAGTCGACTAACACCCAGGTACCTATTTGCTGCTAGGTGAACAGGACAACAGGTGTAAGGAAACGTGTCGAAATGTTTCCACCCATCAGGAATCGAACCTGGGCCCTCCGTGTGTGAAACGGGAGCTTTAGCCACCAGGCTATATACATTATTGAACTACAGTACATCTATGCTAAAGATCTGTAAAAAAAATAAAAATTTTCAGTTTTGACTTGTAGGTTTTTCACTTAAAAATATTCAAGGCATTTTTGTATTATTTGTTTTAAATATTGTGTTATAAAATAGATGTGGCATATACAGCTGCATCTATTGGTCCAGCATGAACCCAAGTATCAGCAGCATCATCATGCTCAACTAAACAGTGTAATTTTTTCCCAGATATTATATATTTTCAAATGCTATTACAGACTGTCTTCTTCTCAGGTAGTAATTTTACATATCATGGACAGAATGAGTCTTTAACCCATGCCAAGCGAGTCCTACAACTCATTTGTTTGTGCTATTACGATTTCGTGAGTAATTTTGCATGTATTCTACATGGTTGTACTTGATAAGGGACACAGTAAGAAGGAACAATGACAAAACATGAATATTAGGATTTAAGTTAGATTAATTTAGATTTAGAAAGGACGTAGGTCAGTATTGGTTTTCAAACAGAGTTGTCGATAAGTGGAACAATCTTCCGAGTAGAGTAATAGAGGCTAAAACCTTGGGTAGCTTTAAAAAGAGATTGGACAGATATATGAGTGGGAGGGGCTGGTTTTGATTGGTACCTGGGGTACGGAAGTAAATTCTTGCATAGCTTTGGGAAAACGCTGGACAGTACATGGGTGGTTTTGATAAGGACCTGCCTGATATGGGGCAGGAGACCTGCTGCAGTGTTCCTCCATTCTTATGTTCTTAAGCTGCATGATTACAATTCCTGAGTGTGAGTATACATTATTACCTCACATCTTTTTTAATAGAATTTCAACTCATTGTTATAAACCTGATCTCAATGCTGGTGCTTGACAAGATGTATATTAATAAGTAAAGAGGATGTGAGGGAGATTCAGATGGCGTGTTGAGGGGTGATTGACACACCTCAAAATTGCAAGCAATGCAAAAATGCTATATTAAGCTGTAATTAACAGCCCCTCATACATATGCTGTATTAAGCTGTAATTAACAGCCACTCTTACATGTACTGTATTAAGCTTTTTAAAGCACTAAGTCATTTTTTTAATATTGCAGTACTGTACTTGCACATAGTGCTTAATCATTGTTTTTCTGCTCCTATGAAAACAACTTGTTTGGAGGGAATTGCCTGTTAATAAATTTTATCTTTAACTAATTTTAAACACTATCATTCATTCACTATTATTCTGTGTGTATTTGTATTTTCAGGCTTCGACTTTTCAAGTGTTTCAACCCATTCCGAATTTTAATATGCAGTGGGGATGGATCAGTGGGATGGGTCCTGTCAGAGATTGACAAGCTACATATGACAGTAAGTTAATATTCTTTAATATAATCAGTGTATATAAGATATGATGTAGGGCGAAATGACAGTAGTTTGTTGGATTATGTATTGGTAGGTAAAAGACTGTTGAGTAGACTTCAGGATGTACATGTTTATAGAGGGGGCCACAGATATATCAGATCACTTTTTAGTTGTAGCTACACCGAGAGTAAAAGGTAGATGGGATACAAGGAGAATACAAGCATCAGGGAAGAGAGAGGTGAAGGTTTATAAACTAAAAGAGGAGGCAGTTAAGGTAAGATATAAACAGCTATTGGAGGATAGATGGACTAGTGAGAGCATAGGCAATGGGGTCGAAGAGGTATGGGGTAGGTTTAAAAATGTAGTGTTAGAGTGTTCAGCAGAAGTTTGTGGTTACAGGAAAGTGGGTGCGGGAGGGAAGAGGAGCGATTGGTGGAATGATGATGTAAAGAGAGTAGTAAGGGAGAAAAAGTTAGCATATGAGAAGTTTTTACAAAGTAGAAGCGATGCAAGGAGGGAAGAGTATATGGAGAAAAAGAGAAAGGTTAAGAGAGTGGTGAAGCAATGTAAAAAAAGAGCAAGTGAGAGAGTGGGGGAGATGTTATCAACAAATTTTGTTGATAACACGTGAGATTAACAAGTTAAGGAAGCCTAGAGAACAAATGGATTTGTCAGTTAAAAATAGGAGAGGAGAGTTATTAAATGGAGAGTTAGAGGTATTGGGAAGATGGAGGGAATATTTTGGGGAACTGTTAAATGTTGATGAAGATAGGGAAGCTGTGATTTCGTGTATAGGGCAAGGAGGAATAACATCTTGTAGGAGTGAGGAAGAGCCAGTTGTGAGTGTGGGGGAAGTTCGTGAGGCAGTAAGTAAAATGAAAGGGGGTAAGGCAGCTGGGATTGATGGGATAAAGCTAGAAATGTTAAAAGCAAGTGGGGATATAGTTTTGGAGTGGTTGGTGATATTATTTAATAAATGTATGGAAGAGGGTAAGGTACCTAGGGATTGGCAGTGAACATGCATAGTTCCTTTGTATAAAGGCAAAGGGGACAAAAGAGAGTGCAAAAATTATAGGGGGATAAGTCTGTTGAGTATACCTGGTAAAGTGTATGGTAGAGTTATTATTGAAAGAATTAAGAGTAAGACGGAGAGTAAGATAGCAGATGAACGAGGAGGCTTTAGGAAAGATAGGGGGTGTGTGGACCAGGTGTTTACAGTGAAATTTATAAGTGAAAAGTATTTAGATAAGGCTAAAGAGGTTTTTGTGGCATTTGTGGATTTGGAAAAGACAGGGTGGATAGGGGGAAAATGTGGCAGATGTTGCAGGTGTATGGTATAGGAGGTAGGTTACTGAAAGCAGTGAAGAGTTTTTACAAGGATAGTGAGGCTCAAGTTAGAGTATATAGGAAAGAGGGAGATTATTTCCCAGTAAAAGTAGGCCTTAGACAAGGATGTGTGATGTCACCGTGGTTGTTTAATATATTTATAGATGGGGTTGTAAGAGAAGTAAATGCGAGGGTCTTGGCAAGAGACGTGGTGTTAAAAGATTAAGAATCACACATAAAGTGGGAGTTGTCACAGTTGCTCTTTGCTGATAACACTGTGCTCTTGGGAGATTCTGAAGAGAAGTTGCAGAGGTTGGTGGATGAATTTGGTAGGGTATGTAAAAGAAGAAAATTAAGAGTGAATACAGGAAAGAGTAAGGTTATGAGGATAACAAAAAGATTAGGTGATGAAAAATTGGATATCAGATTGGAGGGAGAGAGTATGGAGGAGGTGAATGTATTCAGATATTTGGGAGTGGACGTGTCAGCGGATGGGCCTATGAAAGATGAGGTGAATCATAGAATTGATGAGGGGAAAAGGGTGAGCGGTGCACTTAGGAGTTTGTGGAGACAAAGAACTTTGTCCTTGGAGGCAAAGAGAGGAATGTATGAGAGTATAGTTTTACCAACGCTCTTATATGGGTGTGAAGCATGGGTGATGAATGTTGCAGCGAGGAGAAGGCTGGAGGCAGTGGAGATGTCATGTCTGAGGGCAATGTGTGGTGTGAATATAATGCAGAGAATTCGTAGTTTGGAACTTAGGAGGAGGTGCGGGATTGCCAAAACTGTTGTCCAGAGGGCTGAGGAAGGGTTGTTGAGGTGGTTCAGACATGTAGAGAGAATGGAACGAAACGGAATGACTTCAAGAGTGTATCAGTCTGTAGTGGAAGGAAGGCGGGGTAGGGGTTGGCCGAGGAAAGGTTGGAGGGAGGGGGTAAAGGAGGTTTTGTGTGCGAGGGGCTTGGACTTCCAGCGGGTATGCGTGAGCGTGTTTGATAGGAGTGAATGGAGACAAATGGTTTTTAATACTTGACGTTCTGTTGGAGTGTGAGCAAAGTAACATTTATGAAGGGATTCAGGGAAACCGGCAGGCCGGACTTGAGTCCTGGAGATGGGAAGTACAGTGCCTGCACTCTGAAGGAGGGGTGTTAATGTTGCAGTTTAAAAACTGTAGTGTAAAGCACCCTTCTGGCAAGACAGTGATGGAGTGAATGATGGTGAAAGTTTTTCTTTTTCGGGCCACCCTGCCTTGGTGGAAATCGGCCAGTGTGTTAATAAAATAATAATCAGTGTACGTACCTCCATGAGAAGGTGGAGAAGAATCCTTCCTCCATAAGCCATGTGTGTCATAAGAGGCAATTAAAATGCTGGGAGCAAGGGGCTAGTAACCTCTTCTTCTGTATAAATTACTAAACGTAAAAAGAAGAAAAGCTTTTGTTTTTCTTTTTTAGGCCATCCTGCCTCAGTGGGAGATGGCCAGTGTATTAAAAACAAATCAGTGTATGGTGTCAGTATTCAGTTGGAACTTAGCCCTCCAACTTACGATGGGGCTACATTCCAACAAACCCATTGTTAGTTGAATATGAATATTATATGCTCAATAAATAAGTAAATGAATAGCTACTGTCACTGAATAAGTAAATAAACAAATAATTACCGTAACTAACTAAATACCAGTATTGAAAAGTAAATAACTCCTGCAGGATAATTATCATAAATTTCATCTCCAAAGTGCAGGTACCATCCGGCTTACAACCAAGCTTGGTTCCGACCAACTGGTTGTAAGTCAAAATGGACGTAAGTCGAACCTTACTACTGAATATCAACATCATACTTTTGTAATGATTTTATTTTATTGTTTTGTTTTGGTATTTCATTTTTTACTTTACTTTTTATGCTGTTAGTACTGTATTTTATACTGTAAGGTTTAGGATAAACACTGTACAATACAAACAGTTGTTTACTTCCCAGAAATCTGGCATAAAAAACATGGTCGTAAGTCGAGTGGTTGTATGTCAAGCAGGTCGTAAGTTGGATGGTAGGTGTAATTGCCTTTGCACCATCATATAGTCAGAATATCCTAAGTCGAGGAGCACCTGTCTAGACTTGAATTACCTCAAGTATTGCATTATACTAGTGTAGGATCCATTTGCTCTCATACTGACAGTAACACTAAATGGTTTTCTGGAGATTGCCATTGTTTTACAAGTCATAGTTAATACATTGTTACCAATTTGGTTTCTTTCTATTTTATGACCAGAATTTATATCAAATTTATGTTATGTACTGTGTCTGGAAAAAAAAAATAGAAGTCTTCTTCCTTGAAGTAAGTCTTTTATGATCCCTTTGTTATACACACCCCACACACATTGTTAATGAGAACCTATTTTAAATCGTTTCTAAGATTTGCATTTTAACTGTTGTGGTCATTCTATTTTGCTTCCAGGGTTTAAATACATATTAATTAGTTGTTATTAACAGAATCAGTGTCAGATTGGTGTACTACCATTGGGCACTGGTAATGATCTGGCACGCGTTCTTGGCTGGGGCTCGGCGTGTGATGACGACACACATCTTCCTCACATACTGGAGAAATACGAGAGAGCAACCACAAAAATGCTGGACAGGTAAGATTTACTATTGTTTAAGTTAAATGAAATTTGACAATCATTATTGGTTCGTTAACCATTTCATAGGATAATATTTTTATCTTAGTTGCAGTAGCAAACTTTATACAGTCCTAGAGGTGTTGTGAAAGTAGAAATTGTGAGCAATACAAAATTAATCAGCATAATAAATTTTATATAAGATTTGGGCTCAGTGTTGTTTTGAGAAACCATTTTTTTTTTTTTTAACATATCAGTCATCTTCCACTGAGGCAGGGTATTTCTTAGCCCTTTCAGGGTCCCCAGGCCCTCTCCGAGACTTGTTCTCAGGGTTGCCCCCCCCAAAAAATTATTTTTTCTTATGAAAAGATAGAGAATCCTTTCCCGATCATAATGACACCAAAATTATGAAATTTGATGGAAAACTTACGGAATTATGAACCATACCCCCGGCCGGGATTGAACCCGCGGTCATAGAGTCTCAAAACTCCAGCCCGTCACGTTAGCCCGTCACGTTAGCCCGTCACGTTAGCCCGTCACGTTAGCCACTAGTGGCTAACGCGACGGGCTGGAGTTTTGAGACTCTATGACCGCGGGTTCAATCCCGGCCGGGGGTATGGTTTATTTGCAATCGTGTCATTACGATTTCTTGAGTCATGTTGACGGCAGTGAAGGGACTTGAGCTAGAGTTCGTCACGGCCACGCTAGCTGGAGATTCGTCTGTAAAAACTTGCATTTGTGGTCACAGAGGTGCCTGTGCTAACTTTCCTATGGTGTAGAAATATACCTAGTTGGATGAATCTTATTGTGGCTAGCTGGTCTAGTGGCTAACGCGACGGGCTGGAGTTTTGAGACTCTATGACCGCGGGTTCAATCCCGGCCGGGGGTATGGTTTATTTGCAATCGTGTCATTACGATTTCTTGAGTCATGTTGACGGCAGTGAAGGGACTTGAGCTAGAGTTCGTCACGGCCACGCTAGCTGGAGATTCGTCTGTAAAAACTTGCATTTGGTGGTCACAGAGGTGCCTGTGCTAACTTTCCTATGGTGTAGAAATACCTAGTTGGATGAATCTTATTGTGGCTAGCTGGTCTAGTGGCTAACGCGACGGGCTGGAGTTTTGAGACTCTATGACCGCGGGTTCAATCCCGGCCGGGGGTATGGTTTATTTGCAATCGTGTCATTACGATTTCTTGAGTCATGTTGACGGCAGTGAAGGGACTTGAGCTAGAGTTCGTCACGGCCACGCTAGCTGGAGATTCGTCTGTAAAAACTTGCATTTGTGGTCACAGAGGTGCCTGTGCTAACTTTCCTATGGTGTAGAAATATACCTAGTTGGATGAATCTTATTGTGGCTAGCTGGTCTAGTGGCTAACGCGACGGGCTGGAGTTTTGAGACTCTATGACCGCGGGTTCAATCCCGGCCGGGGGTATGGTTTATTTGCAATCGTGTCATTACGATTTCTTGAGTCTTACGGAATTATGCTCTTGCGAAGTTAGCGGTCTCGACAATGTTTACGCATCGGCGATTTTTCCCACTTTGAGCCCTATTTTCGGCCAATTCCAATGTACTAGTCGACAAAAATCATAACTATTTCGCCAGAACTCCATTTTTTCTATCGAATGAGTACAAGAAACCACCCATTTACCGATTTCAACTATCCAATACAGTGCTCAGAATTTAGCAATTTTGCCAATTTCACACAAATTTCAAAAGATACCAATTTCTAAGTAGGGTCCAGAATAAACAAGAAAGACATTCCTGGCACTAAAATAACATTTCCTCTGTTCATTAGTCATGTCCCCATGCCCGTCTTACATTCTTTTGCTTTCCACTTTGAATTTTTATTCTCACAAAAAATAGAAGATTTACTGTTATGCAGACTACTGCATTGGTGTAGAAATGGTATAAATAATATCAGCGCACTTGTGAAAGAATATTAGACTCTCCAGTTGACGTGTATTGGATGCATAGCATGATTTGTTTACTTTTGAACTTTGGTAAAAATCGATTATTTCTGCTACTTTGAGCTCAATTTCGAGGCACTTTTCATTGTAAAACCAGTCAAAATCGTCTCAATTTCTGTAATATGTCTTCCATTCTATAAAATGGGACCAGGAAAACTAGAATACAACAATAAATACCATATGAAAATACAGTGCAAAGTCGCTGTTTTAATCCAAAAACACAGTCAAAGTTTTTTTTTTCTCATTACGCACTGTGTGCTGCAGGAATTTTTTATACTGCGCGCACTGACCACATAGACCCATTCTTTCATAAGTAGGCCTACCAGCTTTCTCTCACTAGATTTGAGGGCGCTAGAATTTAGGCATACTAGTATGTCAAAAACCCTGGTGCATAAGCCGTACTAGTACGGCCGAAACCCTGAAAGGGTTAATTTGTTGCATCTAGCTCTTAAGTAGCATTTATGACTACTATCTAAATTATAGTTAAGTTTATTATGCATCATTTGCTTTCAGTATCATACAGTTTTGTATTTTACATCTGGGCTCCATTTCATAATTTAAGATGACATTGACCTGAAGTTTCTGCTGCTCAATTTGTTTTCCAGTTTCGAACTTATATTTTCTGATCTCTGTCAAGGTATGATGGATTTTCTCTCTCTTTGTCTAATAAGCTTCCTTTAGGCAAGCTAGTTCAGTTTATTTGTGCCTTTCCTTTATTTTCAAGTGTTTGTAAATATCTAAACTTTCAGATTGCAAGATAACTCTCAACTGATGATGTTATTCTGCTTATATTCACTTAAAGTGGACAGATTAGGGGTAATGGCTGTTCCAAAGATCTTCTTTTTAAGCTGCTTTTTAGCAGTCTTTTAGCTGCTTTTTAGCTCTTGTCAAGAGGGTATTTTCTTTTCTTTAGGCTTTTTTTTCCCCATGCGCCATCTTAATAATATTTCTTTTGCTTGGGTTAAATTCCAGTAACCACTTAAACAACCATTCCTAGAGTTTGTCCGAGTCTTCCTGCTGCTGCCTTTCACCACATTTGGTTTGTGTTCTCATTATTCCTTTGTAGTATGTGGTTGGGTCATTAATATACACCAGGAACAATATTGGGCCTAACACTAATCTTGTAGAACTCCACTAGTGCTCTTCTATCTTGATAGTAACATTTTGTTTTCTGTTGTTTAAGTCTTATCCATGCTAATATCTTTCCTTTTAATGCAGTTTTAGAACTAATCTAGTTAATAAAAATTTCTGCACTAAATGATCTAATATTTATAACCCTCAGCATAGAACTTTGACACACATTGAACAGGATAAATTAGTATACTTTATGTACTTGTACCATACTATGTCTCAGAATGTGAATCAAAATTTTGTTGCAGATGGAGCATAATGAGTTTCGTGAGCCATGTTTCACTGAGTCCTGAACACAAACTGCAGTCACTTACTTCCCATTCCCTGCTTTCTCAAGTAGCAGCTTATGAAGATTCAGTTGGCACTCATTTAGCGACATTGCTTCAGTCAGACCAACATTCCGTAGTTATTTCATCAGCAAAGTAAGTCCATCAGTTCCTTAGGTAACTATTGTAATTACTTCTTTGTGTCTCACATTTTTTTAATTAATGAGTATAAAGTAACTTGGTAATTGATATTGTATGGAGAAAGACACTTATGTACAGTTCAGGACATTTATTAGAGGAAACATTTCCTCAAATAAATGTCCTGAATTTTATGTCTTTTTCCACATCTTATCTGTATCATCACACCATTTTTCAGTTGCTATTGTTATGCCTAGCACACCATGCAGAAATCTATTGTATGGGTAAGCTCTATGTTAGAGTGACTGGTGAGGATAACATCAGCACTTATTTTGGTCTAGTCAGTAATTTTGTATTTACAGAAATGTATTAGATGGACATGAATAACGGAAAATCAGATATGACTTGAATTATGAAAAATAGATAAGACTTGTTTTATAAAAAATCTTTCTTCATTGGATAACAGATAATAATAATTTTTATTGGTTTCATATGTCAGTACATCTGTCAATTTACTTGCCATCTTTTCCATGTGAATGAGATGGGACACAGAGCAAGCCTTGTAGTAAAATAAATAAGCTGTTCATTTTTAATATGTGTTGTGTGATGTATAGTGTATATCGAGTGTAGAATATCATAGTTATTTACTCTTCTCACTTATTCAGTTCATGAATCATACCTCAGCTACATGTACACTTCTACGTCTGTACACTTTTTGACTAGTTTGTTACCAAAAGTAACATACTGCTGATGTCATACACTCCTGTAAAATTTAATATTTATGCAGAATTTAAAATTGCATGTTTTTAGAAAGTCATTTTATTTCCCACATTGTCTGCTTATTATATTTCCTTAATCCTGTACTGACAGGTCTTCCCACCAAAATATGTTTTATAAGTTTCACTCATTTATACTTGTTTGTTTTTAGTGTAGTATTCCTTTTTGAACTAATTTATTTTGTAAATGTAGAAATTGCTCTCTTGCAGAGTGTTATGCGAGACAATCAAATCCTTAATTACAAAAGTGGGAAAAAGCTGGGGTGAAGACTCCCACACAACTGAAGGAAGCACGGATACACAAGGTTTAGAGGACTCTCTCTCGGCTAAATGTGCTGTTCTCAACGATAAGTTAGACTTGCTGCTCAGAGCACTACACGAGGAGAGCATAGCATCCATGTCTTCTATTAGTACTGCAACCCCAGAAAATTCATCGATTGTTGATGAGGTAGAATATATTACAGTATATGATATCATATTTATAGTTACTTCAAATTTATTAATAACCTTAAAGTTATGAAATTAAAAATGGATATATGAAGAAATGGAAGTGCATTTTAAGTTTCTGTTGATACAAATACAGTGGACCCCCGCATAACGATTACCTCCGAATGCGACCAATTATGTAAGTGTATTTATGTAAGTGCGTTTGTACGTGTATGTTTGGGGGTCTGAAATGGACTAATCTACTTCACAATATTTCTTATGGGAATAAATTCGGTCAGTACTGGCACCTGAACATACTTATGGAGTGAAAAAATATCGTTAACCGGGGGTCCACTGTACATTAAAAGTTAATGAACCATATGACTATCTATATTATATGTACTGTATCAATAGTGTTATGTTATATTTTGTACATGATGTATTATCATGACTGAATTATATTTTTAATTGTACTAAGTAGTCCCAGTTCTAGGCACAAGTAAAGCGTACCTAAAGGAAAAAAAAGTTCATGATTTGACTCTTGAAGACTGTAGTCTCATATCATTTGTGATAATGATTAGTATTCAGAGTGGCTATTAATGAATAATTTGTTTTACCGTAGTACTATAAAATACAGTCAGATATGTATGTTGTATCCTTGGCTTATTTTTAAACTTTTGATATTTGAAATACAGTAATTACTAAATGCACAGTTGATGAAATCTTGTGCTGTATGTCTTCAAGAGTCAGTACAGCCTCTCCTCGCTTAGCGACATACTCGTTTACCAACGACTTGAACTTATGACGAACTCTGACCAGTATGCATACCTGAATGATGTATATCAGAGGTGATTTCCTCTACTCTTTTTATTACAATATACAGTACACTTTAAACATTTAAAAATATACTAAAAATGTTATAAATGGTGCAAGGATGACATTAAAGCATTAATGATAATAATAATAATAATAATAATTTTATTTTGATATGATACTTTCTTTCAACACACCGGCCGTATCCCACCGAGGCGGGGTGGCCCAAAAGGAAAAACGAAAGTTTCTCCTTTTACATTTAGTAATATATACAGGAGAAGGGGTTACTAGCCCCTTGCTCCCAGCATTTTAGTCGCCTCTTACAACACGCATGGCTTACGGAGGAAGAATTCTGTTCCACTTCCCCATGGAGGTAAGAGGAAATAAAAAGAACAAGAACTAGAAAGAAAATAGAAGAAAACCCAGAGGGGTGTGTATATATATGCTTGTACATGCATGTGTAGTGTGACCTAAGTGTAAGTAGAAGTAGCAAGACTTGCCTGAAATCTTGCATGTGTATGAGACAGAAAAAAAAGACACCAGCAATCCTACCATCATGTAAAACAATTACAGGCTTCCATTTTACACTCACTTGGCAGGACGGTAGCACCTTCCTGATATGATACATTGTTGTATAAAGGATGGTTGACATAAACCCACTACCATTATAGTGTGCTCCTCGTTTAGCAACGAATTCATTTATCGACGTGGTATTAGGAACGGAACTCCGTTGTTAAGTGAGGAGAGGCTGTATTGTTTAGCTGCTATATGGTAAATGTATGAATAGGCAGAGTGACCTAGCAGGTGCATTAGCCTGTGTCTGCTGTATCACTAAAATTTGTGTATTTTTGTTATTTACTTACTTTGGCTTTAATTTATAAAAGTTTGACTATATACTGAATATCGTTCAGAATTCACAGTACTGTATCGTCTTTCAAATTCGTTCACCAGCTATAATTACTTAACACTTCAGAGTCCAGAAACGAGTGAAGACCTTGATAGTTCAGAAAAAAACATACTGTGCAGAGATGAAAAAAGGGCTTCCAATATTCAACATAGAAAAAGGACGAAACGGGTAAGATTCTTTCATGCTGATTTACCTAGTTGTTCTGGAGCTCAGGCTTTAACTCCTGGCTCTCTGTTAACTATTAATTGATTGGTGCAGGTAATTTCTATCCTCATGCTCAAGTCTTCTTTTGAATCTATATACAATTCATTAAAACTTTTAATCTGTTCCAGTATTGCAGTTAACATAGCTGAATTCAACAACTTTTGTCATTAACACTTGAAAGCTACAAAGAGTCTTGAAAGTAGTTGGTAAGGTTCCTTTCTGGTTGTCATTTGTGATTCTGATGACACTATTTTGCTGAATGTTCTTGGATGTCATCAAAAGACATGTTAAATATTACTTTTATATTAATTGAAGTTTTATGATGAATTTCAGAAGGTTTCACACACTTGTAAATATTTGTGGCATTGGTGAGGCAGTTTGTTAGAAGTTTTTCTGAAGGTCAACTCTCTTGGGTGACATGGTGCTTGGAATGTCTCCTGTGGGTCTTGATGGGATTGCAGGTTGGGTTTGCTTTGTTATGAGACTGATTTTTTCCTTGTTTGATCCCCTCTTTGACTTTCTCTCGTCTGGATATCCTTCAAATTATTATTGGGCAAAACCCGTAGCATTCAGCAAATTCCTCTTGCCTTGATTACAAAGCCTCTTGTTGCAATTTTCATTTTTTTTTTTTTTTGGTCTGCTATTCATAAGAGGTGAGTTTTATACTGCTGCCTATTGCTGTTATTCCTATTATGTGATCTGTAAGCAGCTATTTACAAGGCCCTCAAGGGTCCATTGTTGTATTTTATTATGATCACAGCTGTGCCTCTTCCTCGCTTTTCTTGTGCACTACTTGTAACACCTTGGAATATTGTTGTATTTATTATTGTTGGGAGTTGTGTTTTTTGTAATGGTCGTGATTTATGAGCTTTCTTTATCTACAATTTCCCTTTTTCCTGCCCCACTATATTGTTGAAGTTCATTTGCATTTGTAATGTACTTAACTGCTATAATATCTTTATCTATTCTACTATTTCATTTTGGTGGTTGCTGGAGGCTATGCCTCCATGGGAGTGTGAGAGGGAGGTGGTGATAGATCAGTGATAGATGAGGGTGGTTGAGTTAGGGGCTGGGAAGAAGAAAAGGAGGTTTGACGGGGACTCAACAATAACATATTCACCAATCACTAAACATTCATGTATTCACTAAATATTTTTTTACTTGCAGAAACAGTTCATAGAGAAGGATGCATTGATGTCTCGAGCAAATAGCCTGAAGAAGGCTGTTCGTGAAATTATAGAACACACAGAAAGAGCAGTTGATGACCAGAATGCACAAACAGCTATGAGGCTTCCCCTTCCTATAATAACATTAGAGCCTTCAGAGGATGTAGAATTTGAGAAAATTGGCGAGCAAAGAATATCGGGTTCAGAATTGAAGGTACAGTACAGTAATTTTTTCACTTGTAAGTATAAGTATAGGGTATAACCATAGGTATCTATGATTTTGTTATTGTTGTTAGATGTATAATTTATTTTGTGCATCACTCTTAGTGTATTTAAGCAGTGATAATTGCTGCCTAATACACTGTCTCAGAAGGATAGGGTACATTAAGATAATGAACTTTATATATAGATTCATTCAACTAGATATATTTATACACTATAGGGAGGTTAACATGGGTCCCACTGTGACCACAAATGCAAGTTTTTACAGATGAATCTCCTGCCAGCACGGCCATTCGTCCAACTAGCTGTCATCATGACAACTAGTTGGATGAATCTTATTGTAGCTAGCTGGCCCAGTGGTTTACACATTGGCCTGGGATTTTACAACTCGCTTGCTGCGAGTTCAAACCTCACCTGTACCATGGTTTATGAACCTAATGTGTCCTTGATAATACTCCAGGTTAACCTAATGTGCCCTTGATAATACTCCAGGTTAACCTAATGTGCCCTTGATAATACTCCAGGTTAACCTAATGTGTCCTTGATACTACTACAGGATGATCCTAATGTGTCCTTGATAACACTCCAGAATGATCCTAAATGTCACTGGAAGTTTCTTCTCCAATGTATGGATTATTTGTGAATTATTCTGACTACTCTATTGTGACTTTTACTGTGTAAGAAATTATATAATTTTATTGTGGCAGTAGTATTTTGTGTCATCTTTGTGAATTATTGCAGGTCCTGCCTACCATCGAGGGGTCATCTGCAGAGGTATCACCTTGTCCCTCACCAGTGCCTATGCAAACTACACATCCCTTTGTTTCTTCCATCACCACTAATTTTCCCCTCCCACCTGCTTCTCCTCTCCCTGGTACATCGTCCACTCATCCCAAATATACGATCTGTATACCCGGTCAACACTCCGATATGTCCCTTCCTGCTTCTACATTCCTCCAACTTCCAGGCACTGTCTCCCCTCCTGTTGCCTCGAGTGTTGATGACTCCGTGGAACAGTTACGAGTAAATTACCAGGCCATTTCACCGCTTCCTGAAATTCGTAGAGAGAGCCATACTGAATTTGAGTTTCCTCCTACAATACCCGTTCCAAGTGAATTTGCTGATATGTCACGGAAGAACAGCATGCAGGAGAGCAGAGAGATGACTGGAGATAGGTGTCCTATTCCCATTGAAGACATTGAGGTTAGGATACAGTCATCAACAGACAATCTGGTGGATGTTGGTGAAGATGAACCATACACATTTGAGGAAAAATCTATAACAGAAATAAGAGATTCTTTAGCAAATTCATTAAACAACTCGCTCGATATAGATGAAGATTGGGGACAAATAGAAGATGTAGATAAAGAAGGAATTCAAGGGGAAAAAGTAAAAAGTAGAGAGGAAGCACATGAGAGTGATGGGGAGGAAGAGAGAGAGAAAACAGAAGGATTAGATAGTGATGAAACAGATGAAACAGTAAAGGAAACACACAAAGATGAACATAAACATGATGGTGGTGTTGCTGACGACACTACACCTGAAGGTGACCAAAGTGTTGTGGAAGATGTCACGAGTGTCAAAGAGCAAGACGAGAGTGACGATCAAAATTCTCACCCTGCTGATAGAGATGATGACATTGAAGGTGAACATTTAGTGTGTCGAAGGGAAGAACCAACTGGAGGAGAGTCACAGGATGATCTACAGTCACCAGATGTTCCATTGGCACAAGAAGAGTTCTCTGGGAGTGTTGATGATGAATTAGATGATGATTTGGTGCCACCTCCATCGGAGAGAATTGTTGAGGGAGCAGAAGCTGGCACGGAAGATGAGATGGAAGAAGAAGAGAAAGGTGAGGACTGTGAGTAATATCTTCATCTATTGTGATTGTTTTATTGATTAAATATCGATCTTTTCAAATGAGAATATGTACTTGAATTGTTCAGGTCAGCTATAGTAATAATTGTACATTTCTAATTTTCATTGATTTAATATCATTGTGCAGGCTTAAATGGCATTGTAATAGCTATTTCCCTATAATAATTTTTTGTGAGGCCTTAATATTAATAAAAAATATTTCACTATATTGCAAAGTAGAAAATGATAAAATTTTAACCAGTTGCATACCCACTTTCACCCACCCTAACTCATCCCTAATATTAATCGATCAATCACCCAGAATAAATATCCTGATCACTAAAAGCCTTTCTTCACAATTATCTCATCAAGGTGAGTGGAGGTGGGAAGAGAGCCTTCTACTTACCGTATTTTTCCAGCATATAAGGTGCACTTTTTTACTCTCAAAATATCTTGAAAAATCACCCTAGGCCTTGTATGTTCAAGGTCAGGGTCAAGGCTAGTCTGTGGGCCACACTTTATCAGTTATTTACTGTTGCGTTACAACTGCTTGGAAACATCGTCTTACATGTCTCACGTGATCGTACACTTTGTGCCGGAAAATACGGTAACTATCCTTGAATTCAAATTTTTAACAGTGTTAACAATTTGAAATCAATTAGAAAAGGCCTTCTCAGGTTATAACACTGAAACCAAAACTAAAATTAGTCGACCAGATTTATGTTATTAATCAAGAGAGAAGTGCTAAATCTGGAGAGATAATAAAGTGCCTGGGGTATGGTAAACATTCAGGTGCAATGCAGTGAGGAGAGAGAACAATTCCATTTCTGCAGATCAAGAGCCCCTCACCAGAGGGCACCTGCACATGCCAATAGTTACATGAACTGTTCTTTAGTTATAGTTCACCAATGTTGAAAATTTGAAGCTGTTCCTATGAGACATTCTCGAGGTACAAATAAGAACCAGTGAATGGTAGCCCTTCAGGGATACAAAACAAATAAATACCTTATGTTGATAATTGCTGTTTACATCAGGCATAGCTTAAAGATTTCACATTATCACAAAAGTTACAATTAATGTACAGAGTATTGGGGATTGATTTAGCAATCACTGTTCATAAACAATTAATCACGAGTTGTATACTGTACATTAGAAAGTTAATGTTAAGAAATTTGGGGTCTAAAAAAATGAAGAATATCATTACAGTAGTTATCACGGTTATACAATGTAGCCTATTTTTTAGATGCTATTAATTTAAAAAAAAAATTAGAAATGTATTTTACATTTAACTTGAGGTAAGATAATGTTTGTGGTATATAATTGTCAGTTTTATATAAAGGAGAAAGAAATGAAAATTTAAATTAGAATTGACAAAGGGTTGATATTGCTTGACTTAGATTAATAATAGTTATAATTAATTTGAAACCTTGTTATTTATCCTGAAGCTTCTATGTGAGCTCCAGGTGCTCTCTCATGTCATTTATTCTGAAGCTTCTATGTGAGCACCAGGTGCTCTCTCATGTCATTTATTCTGAAGCTTCTATGTGAGCTCTAGATACTCTCTCATGTCATTTATTCTGAAGTTTCTATGTGAGCTCTAGGTGCTCTCACTGTCATTTATTCTGAAGCTTCTGTGTGAGCTCTAGGTGCTCTCTCATGTCATTTATTCTGAAGCTTCTATGTGAGCTCTAGATACTCTCTCATGTCATTTATTCTGAAGTTTCTATGTGAGCTCTAGGTGCTCTCACTGTCATTTATTCTGAAGCTTCTGTGTGAGCTCTAGGTGCTCTCTCATGTCATTTATTCTGAAGCTTCTATGTGAGCTCTAGGTGCTCTCTCATGTCATTCTGAAGCTTCTGTGTGAGCTCTAGGGGCTCTCTCATGTCTTTTATTCTGAAGCTTTCTGTGTGAGCTCTAGGTGCTGTCTCATGTCATTATGAAGTTTCTATGTGAGCTCTAGGTGCTCTCTCATGTCATTCTGAAGCTTCTGTGTGAGCTCTAGGTGCTCTCTCATGTCATTTATTCTGAAGCTTCTATATGAGCTCTAGGTGCTCTCTCATGTCATTTATTCTGAAGCTTCTGTGTGAGCTCTAGGTGCTCTCTCATGTCATTTATTCTGAAGCTTCTGTGTGAGCTCTAGGTGCTCTCTCATGTCATTTATTCTGAAGCTTCTATGTGAGCTCTAGATACTCTCTCATGTCATTTATTCTGAAGTTTCTATGTGAGCTCTAGGTGCTCTCACTGTCATTTATTCTGAAGCTTCTGTGTGAGCTCTAGGTGCTCTCTCATGTCATTTATTCTGAAGCTTCTATGTGAGCTCTAGATACTCTCTCATGTCATTTATTCTGAAGTTTCTATGTGAGCTCTAGGTGCTCTCACTGTCATTTATTCTGAAGCTTCTGTGTGAGCTCTAGGTGCTCTCTCATGTCATTTATTCTGAAGCTTCTATGTGAGCTCTAGGTGCTCTCTCATGTCATTCTGAAGCTTCTGTGTGAGCTCTAGGGGCTCTCTCATGTCTTTTATTCTGAAGCTTCTGTGTGAGCTCTAGGTGCTGTCTCATGTCATTATGAAGTTTCTATGTGAGCTCTAGGTGCTCTCTCATGTCATTCTGAAGCTTCTGTGTGAGCTCTAGGGGCTCTCTCATGTCTTTTATTCTGAAGCTTCTGTGTGAGCTCTAGGTGCTGTCTCATGTCATTATGAAGTTTCTATGTGAGCTCTAGGTGCTCTCTCATGTCATTCTGAAGCTTCTGTGTGAGCTCTAGGTGCTCTCTCATGTCATTTATTCTGAAGCTTCTATATGAGCTCTAGGTGCTCTCTCATGTCATTTATTCTGAAGCTTCTGTGTGAGCTCTAGGTGCTCTCTCATGTCATTTATTCTGAAGCTTCTGTGTGAGCTCTAGGTGCTCTCTCATGTCATTTATTCTGAAGCTTCTATGTGAACTCTAGGTGCTCTCTCATGTCACTATCTCTGAAGTTGCATAAATTTATCGTAAAATTTAAAATAAAAATTAATTCTCATTTGTTTAATATTTTTGTTTCATGTTTGTGTATTATTTTCAACACACCAGCTGCCTCCCACCGAGGCAGGATAACTGAAAAAGAAGAAAACTATAAAGTCTGTCTTCTTTTTATACTTAGCAGAAGGGGTTACTAACTCCTTCTCCCGGCATTTTGGTCACCTCTTATGAGTCACATGGCTTAAGGAAAGAGGAGTCTTGTCCACTTCCCCATGGAGAAATTTTTGCATACAGAAGTGATATTCTTAAGTATTTTTCCCCTGATATTTCTTCAGTTTAGTATTATCAAAAGTCTTCTCCAGGCTTGTATTTCCTTGCTGAGTATTTAATTCTTTATAAATGTTTATTCCATGTGAATATTTTTCCTATATCCTTCAAAGGATTATAATCTCTTCTTTAATTTCTGTTAATTTTTCATGATGTACTACATCACTGCCATCCAATTTCTAGCTGTTAGGTGATCGGAAATCCACGTGCCATTTTTGCTGATTAGCTTTGAGGTTCTCTGAGGTAGAAAAATTGAGATAATATTTCTGTCCATCTTAGGCCATTATCAGAAATCTTAAGACAATGCTTCCGTTCAATCTAGACCATGCATAAAAAAAAAAATGGTCCAGGTCCAGATGAGTCCATTTGTCCTGGACCATTACCAAGTCATGACTGTCTGGATGTATTAATAGTCTAAGATGGACTGAAACCTTGCCATAAGATCTATCTTCAATTTATGGGTTAATTGTCAATTGTTGCAACCATGGTATCACGAGTCATGTTGGCAGCCGCTGTGATGTAATCACTTGGAACATAAAATGTACCTTATCACAAAGAGTGCTGTCCTGTACCTCTGTGTAATAACTATTTGGATTTAGTTTTTACTTGATCATATTACAGTCTCATCTTTGGTTATAACAGAGCTGAGTGTAATTGGGAAGTACGTGAAGGTGGTCGCTTCTCAGATCACCATTGTTCATTGTTAATAACTGATGTACTTGTGTTCAACGTTATTTTTATATGCATGTCTCCACATGTCTTTGTGTGCCTGTGTATGTTTGTGTTTATATGGTACTTGTGATGTTACATATTGTTATGTATGTTTAAGCATAAATTTCAAGTTAATACAATTTCAAAATGTGTGAAAAATGACAGGTGCATGAAATACAATGGCTTTGGCTTCTTTTTAACTGCTTGTATATACTTTCTTTAGCATTTTTCTACTAAATAAACACTGTATAGCTGTGCATGTATGTAGCATATAAATAGCTATTGATGTGGGTGAGCATAATTTATTTTTTGCCATCATTAATGGAATTCAAAATGACCAGATAATTCCTTATCGCTAGTATTGGCAAGGTTCACTTGTAAGTAAACAATGATATAAATAACACTTGATCACACAGTAAGTGTGGCTTCATCTTAAAACATCACAATTGTGTATTATTACTTTATCTATCTGGTAATGACTATTGAAAAATTTACATATATTCATATCTATGAAAATGTTTTGCATTTTGTGTTATTGTAATGAACTGTAAGCTTTGTATGGTGTTATCATTTAGGTTAGGCTTGGCCTTATACCTTTTTTAATTTTTTTCTACAAGTCAAGTACCTTGTTGCATTTATTTCCTCGATTAATGTTTTTATGTGTAGCATTGAGAGCACTTTTTCTTACGAATACAGTGCAGTCTTTGTTGTCTTTGGATTTGTTTCCTCTCTTTACATAATGCTGTTATGGTGGTTTTCTCATGCCCAGCTGCTTATTCATGATGGGGGAGGCTGCAACACACTTCCTTGGTGGGTAGGTTGAGGTTAAAGGAAAAATTTGGTGATAGCCCCCACTGAATATATATATGACTAGGGTAAATCAGGCATCAAAGGGTGTGCTTTCCTTTTTGATGCTGTGGCTATCATTAGGTTCTCTCATAGTTACTTGAGGCTAGTAATTTACCCCATGAAACACTGAAAAGTACGAGTTAATCACTTCCTACACAAG